TAAAAAAGGTTTTGACTGCTGGTGATAAATGATGTACGTGTTGGTACCTCTAATTTTTAGTGCAGTGTTTCTTGTCTTGTGCTGAAATATTACGTCGCCGTCCTAAATTTGTGAGTGTGTGTGTGTTGCTAGCAGTGTTGCTAGTAGTGTTACTAGCAGTGTTGCTAGCAGTGTTGCTAGTAGTGTTGCTAGTAGTGTTGCTAGCAGTGTTGCTAGTAGTGTTACTAGCAGTGTTACTAGCAGTGTTACTAGCAGTGTTGCTAGTAGTGTTACTAACAGTTACTAGCAGTGTTACTAGCAGTGTTGCTAGCAGTGTTGCTAGTAGTGTTACTAGCAGTGTTACTAGCAGTGTTTCTAACAGTTACTAGCAGTGTTACTAGCAGTGTTACTAGCAGTGTTGCTAGCAGTGTTGCTAGTAGTGTTGCTAGCAGTGTTACTAGCAGTGTTTCTAACAGTTACTAGGAGTGTTGCTAGCAGTGTTACTAGCAGTGTTTCTAACAGTTACTAGCAGTGTTGCTAGCAGTGTTACTAGCATTGTTGCTAGCAGTGTTGCTAGCAGTGTTGCTAGCAGTGTTACTAGCAGTGTTGCTAGCAGTGTTGCTAGCAGTGTTACTAGCAGTGTTGCTAGTAGTGTTGCTAACAGTGTTACTAGCAGTGTTACTAGCAGTGTTTCTAACAGTTACTAGGAGTGTTGCTAGCAGTGTTACTAGCAGTGTTTCTAACAGTTACTAGCAGTGTTGCTAGCAGTGTTACTAGCAGTGTTGCTAGCAGTGTTACTAGCAGTGTTGCTAGCAGTGTTGCTAGCAGTGTTGCTAGCAGTGTTGCTAGCAGTGTTGCTAGCAGTGTTGCTAGTAGTGTTGCTAGCAGTGTTAATAGCAGTGTTTCTAACAGTTACTAGCAGTGTTGCTAGTAGTGTTTCTAACAGTTACTAGCAGTGTTGCTAGTAGTGTTACTAGCAGTGTTACTAGCAGTGTTTCTAACAGTGTTGCTAGCAGTGTTTCTAACAGTTACTAGCAGTGTTGCTAGCAGTGTTGCTAGTAGTGTTTCTAACAGTTACTAGCAGTGTTACTAGTAGTGTTACTAGCAGTGTTGCTAGCAGTGTTACTAGCAGTGTTTCTAACAGTGTTGCTAGCAGTGTTTCTAACAGTTACTAGCAGTGTTACTAGTAGTGTTACTAGCAGTGTTGCTAGCAGTGTTGCTAGTAGTGTTGCTAGCAGTGTTGCTAGCAGTGTTGCTAGTAGTGTTGCTAGCAGTGTTGCTAGCAGTGTTGCTAGTAGTGTTTCTAACAGTGTTGCTAGCAGTGTTTCTAACAGTTACTAGCAGTGTTGCTAGCAGTGTTGCTAGCAGTGTTACTAGTAGTGTTACTAGCAGTGTTGCTAGCAGTGTTACTAGCAGTGTTACTAGCAGTGTTTCTAACAGTGTTGCTAGCAGTGTTACTAGCAGTGTTGCTAGCAGTGTTACTAGTAGTGTTACTAGCAGTGTTTCTAACAGTGTTGCTAGCAGTGTTTCTAACAGCGTTACTAGCAGTGTTGCTAGTAGTGTTACTAGCAGTGTTACCAGCAGTGTTTCTAACAGTGTTGCTAGCAGTGTTGTGTCAACCTTTGGTCCCAGACTGACGTCACTGGACGAGGTACTCGAGCGCCCTCGACCTTCAGGCCAAGGTAAGTAATACCTCGACCCTCAAGAGTCACTTTTTTCTACGCTGCTTATATGTAGATTAAAATACGATTATTCCTGTGTTATATGAGGATTTTAATGTATAAAAACAAGTAAAAATATCTAAATATTTATTTTCCATGCCATTTCAGGTAAGATTTCATTAGCTCATCGAGGGACACAAATCCACCAATTTTCAAGGTACGTAACAATTTCCTTCTGTTTCCATATTATGAAGTGTTGTAATTAATCACCACGTAAGAAAAGTCGGATAATAAAGTAACTTGACAGACGAAGTACTGTCAAGTTACTCTCACTCTCAGGTGAGAGTGTTGGGCAGTGTTAGGCAGGTGCTGTGGCGACGATCAGGACCGTCCGGGTGATAACGTCAGCAGAGACAATGTCACTAGTGAACAAATCCACAAGGACCGTGACGAGGATTCGAACCTGCGTCCGGGAGCATCCCAGACACTGCCTCAATCGACTGAGCTACGACAGGGTTAAAAGACATTTTAACCCTGTCGTAGCTCAGTCGATTGAGGCAGTGTCTGGGATGCTCCCGGACGCAGGTTCGAATCCTCGCCTCGGCCGTTGTGGATTTGTTCATTTGATGCATCACGTTAGTGTGATCTCTGTGTGTAATGTCACTAGTGTCTCTGGTCACTAGTGCAAGTGTAAGCCAAGAGAACCCAGGGAAAATGGGGGACGCCAAGCGTTGAGTCCAAGGAATTGTAGTTGTATGGGGAAAAATGACCCCTGGATGGACGATTCCTGGGGTACAGTCCTTTGTACTTGGTGTGTGGGGGCGCGCTAATGGGCTAAACTACGTCCAGCAAAGTGGTGTCAAGCTGCCTAGCGAACCAGGGGCCAGATTCACGAAAGCACTTACGCAAACACTTACGAACCTGTACATCTTTTCTCAATCTTTGGCGGCTTTGTTTCCAATTATTAAACAGTTAATGAGCTCCGAAGCACCAGGAGGCTGTTTATAACAATAACAACAGTTGAATGGCAAGTTTTCATGCTTGTAAATTGTTTAATAAATGTAACCAAAGCCGTCAAAGATTGAGGAAAGATGTACACGTCCGTCAGTGCTTGCGTAAGTGCTTTCGTGAATCTGGGCCCAGAAGTGAGCTGGCCGGTCAGGTTCCGTGGAGCCGGAGGTCATTGTAGACAGGTCTGGTGAAGGGAGTACCAGCGCAGAGTTAGGTAAACTCCTGATAACCGACCACCTGTCAATTTGTTTAGTCTCTCAGGTATCTGAATTAGTGGCAAACAAGTGGCTTTGTTATAAGCTTCTAAGTTAGAGTAAACTTGTTCCCAGAGACACATAATGTGGAATAATGGACAAATTAGAGAATTCTCTTCATCACAGTGGTGCATCTCTCACCAATACCGATGTGTAAACCTTGCTCGTGTCTGACACCGTCACAGAAGCCAACCAGTTAGGAACATGACCTATTCATGACCTCATGGTTCTAGCGGACAATAGTAAGCCTCTGTGATTGGGCCAGGTATAAGTGCCAACGTCCCATTCACAGACCTAACAGGTTGTTCCCCAGGGACGTTTGTGTGGTCGCCAAGAAGCCCGCCTAATCATTCTGCCCCTCCCCCCCCTCCAATCACCCAGAGTTATCTCAGCCCAAGTTGCACAGTTCAACTTGCACTGTTAACCAGTCCCCCGTGGCGAAGTGGTAAAACACTCGCATGGTGTTTCGCGAGCGCTTTAGCCTGGGTTCGTATCCTGGCCGGGGAGGATTTATTGGACGTAAATCCTTAACTGTAGCCTCTGTTTACCCAACAGTAAAATGGGCACATTTTACATTTTAACCCATAAAATGGGTTAAAAGATTTGGCGGGTCGTATTCCGGGGAAAAAATTAGGATTAAGGACCTGCCCGAAACGCTACGGGTGCTAGTGGCTCTACAAGAATGTAGGAACTCTTGTATACATAAATAAATACATAAATAAATAAATAGTAGTGACGCCATTAATAGTAGTGACGCACCCTTGTGTTCTTCTCCGGAGGTCAAGTCGACCCACCGCGCCTGTCCTCATGATAATCAAAATATTGCTTCAGAATGGCGACCGCGACATTGTACGAATTGGCAGTGTGAGATGTGAGTTGTGAGTTGTGAGTTGTGAGTTGTGAGTTGTGAGTTGTGAGATGTGAGTTGTGAGATGTGAGTTGTGAGATGTGAGTTGTGAGATGTGAGTTGTGAGATGTGAGTTGTGAGATGTGAGTTGTGAGTTGTGAGATGTGAGTTGTGAGATGTGAGTTGTGAGATGTGAGTTGTGAGATGTGAGTTGTGAGATGTGAGTTGTGAGATGTGAGATGTGAGTTGTGAGATGTGAGATGTGAGTTGTGAGATGTGAGATGTGAGTTGTGAGTTGTGAGTTGTGAGATGTGAGATGTGAGTTGTGAGATGTGAGTTGTGAGATGTGAGTTGTGAGATGTGAGTTGTGAGATGTGAGTTGTGAGATGTGAGATGTGAGTTGTGAGATGTGAGATGTGAGTTGTGAGATGTGAGATGTGAGTTGTGAGTTGTGAGATGTGAGATGTGAGTTGTGAGATGTGAGTTGTGAGATGTGAGATGTGAGTTGTGAGTTGTGAGTTGTGAGTTGTGAGATGTGAGTTGTGAGATGTGAGATGTGAGTTGTGAGATGTGAGATGTGAGTTGTGAGTTGTGAGTTGTGAGATGTGAGATGTGAGTTGTGAGATGTGAGTTGTGAGTTGTGAGTTGTGAGTTGTGAGTTGTGAGATGTGAGTTGTGAGATGTGAGATGTGAGTTGTGAGTTGTGAGTTGTGAGATGTGAGTTGTGAGATGTGAGTTGTGAGTTGTGAGTTGTGAGTTGTGAGTTGTGAGATGTGAGTTGTGAGTTGTGAGTTGTGAGATGCTGAAACTAGTAGAGAGGGTGAGGGGAAGAGAACTATCAGGGGAAAGTGCCAAGCCATTACGACTACGTAGCACTGGGAAGGGGTCAGGATAAATGATTTTGGGATGGGAAGGGTGGGGGGGGGGGGAGGAATGGTGCACAGCCACTTGTGGGCGGTCGGGGATTGAGCGTCGACCTGCATGAAGTGATCTTCAGCTAAGTCGTCAGTGTACTAAATGATCAGGAAAAGTTTCTGGTGAACTGTGCACAGTGAAGGGAGTGTTGCCGCATGATTCTCGGAGTGTATTTACTATTAGACTGTCACTACGGTGAAACTAAAGATTTGCCCCGCTACTGTGCACACGGTGTGAACCTCCCACTACTGTGTGTACACCGTATGAACCTCCCACTACTGTGTGTACACTGTGTGAACCTCCCGCTAAGTCACCACACGTCCAAGTGTGCTGTTAACCCAGCCGCCGGGGGCAGCCAGGCCGCCTGGTGCAGTCAGGCCGCCGGGGGCAGCCAGGCCGCCGGGGGCAGCCAGGCCGCCGGGGGGCAGCCAGGCCGCCGGGGGCAGCCAGGCCGCCGGGGGGCCAGGCAGCCAGGCCGCCGGGGGCAGCCAGGCCGCCGGGGGCAGCCAGGCCGCCGGGAGCAGCCAGGCCGCCGGGGGCAGCCAGGCCGCCGGGGGCAGCCAGGCCGCCGGGGGTAGCCAGGCCGTGGTGCTCACCACAGGTGTTACCATGTGACATCATTCCTCCACCTGCCTTCCTGCACCAGGCGTGTGTAGTCCATTCTGCTATCCTCCGCGAGTCTTTCTTACTTAAGATATCGCGTTCACTCACACGTAAGAGATCCAACACCACGTCTGTAAACTCTCGCATATTCAGCCACATGCAGCATACACTGTCTCCAAGCCCGACCTATACTACGGTCGTGTGTGTATGTCCAGGTCATTGACGGAGCTGTCTGTATGAGTAATTAGTATGAGTGTGTAGAGATCGGCCTTGCTGTAAGTACAATATTTACATTTCTTGCTAAGTGTTTTTATGAGTGTTGATCTTAGTGGTCAGCTGATCATCAACCTCTCACCATCTGCAACAAGGGTGAGATGCGATTTATTGTTTGCGTATTTTGAATTAGTTAACAATATTTCATCCCCATTGTCTAAAACCATAACAAAAAGAAAAATTTTGATGAAGAACCTGTGAGATAATCCTCTAGATCGCTCTCGGCACTGGAGAGCAACTATACCCACCCTGAGGATTCTGACCCGTTGGTCAGGCTGGCTGAGGAGGAATACCTATGGAGGAGCCCCTCACTCCGGTACGGAGGCTCACGCAATTTATTTTACTGAGCCGTCCACCTTATGCGAATTGGTGACATTATATGCAATTGCAAAATCAATGTTGGACATACAGAAATATGAATACTTGAAACTGCAGAAGGCCTGCTGATCCATGCAAGGCAGCTTCTAATTATACACTCAAGAAACTCACAGACATATGTTTAAAGTTCACTTGTAAAAATCCAGGACCCCAGTCTATTATCCTACCAGGAATTTGCTGTATAAAGCAACAACCATATTTGACAACCAATATTTTCTCAGTAATTGTTTGCATGTAAACTTATCGATAATAATTGTATCTTGTAGTCATTTGTTTTGGAGTTACATAAAACTTTAACGCGCACGGCGATATGGACTGGAACTTCCTGGAAGTGAAATCGACGTTTTCGGGTGACCGAACGGCAACACTGAAAAGTGCATACGCTTTTCGCTGTCCTGACCTTAATTTTCGATGTTCAGATTTAATTTTCATACCAATGTGTTCGCAATAGAATGATCTATAAGAGTATATAAGAACATATGTATATGTCACCAAAGCATGAGTTAAATCACACAAAAAGCTAAAGAACTACATGGATCACTAGCCGTGAGCTCCAAACACCGACGAAATGTTTCTATTCTTTTCAGGGTTGTCAACTCCACACTTGTCCTACAGCGTTAAATTTGGTATCACTGTGATCGCAATTAAATTCCCTTCGCGGACATATGCATATAAATGTAGAATCATGATTGCGGCCCACACCAAAAGTGTGTGAAGTGCGCGATTACACTTGCCGTGTCAACAATACAATAGTCTTTCCACTAAGTTACAATACAATGCCGTTCTCTCAAATATGCCATGTGCCTATTAAAGAAAACGAAAATTTAATGGCAAACATTTTCATACTATCCCCAAGTCGATCGAATAAGAATTGGATTTTATACAAATATTTTTTAATCGCGCGTAAATTTACGACGCGGTTGTACTTTTAGGAAAAAATACGCGTCGTTTATTTATGACCCGGGAGCGCTAAAGTGATTTATAATAATATTAATTAATACATGTTTACATCTCCCTATGTACCCCTTCATCCATTTTTTTTTTTTTTTTTTTTTTTTTTTTTTTTTTTTTGAGATATATACAAGAGTTGTTACATTCTTGTACAGCCACTAGTACGCGTAGCGTTTCGGGCAAGAAAATTTGTATACTTAGGCCAAATTTTCCTTACTCCTCACCTTTAGATGTTTCAGATTCAGATTCAGATGTTTATTCAGGTAAGGTATATACATACAAGTGATGTTACATTAATGGATTGATATATAGATAGAGCTAGTACATACAATGCCTAAAGCCACTATTACGCAATGCGTTTCGGGCAAGAAAAACATTAATATCTAGAACTTAATACTAATTGAGCATAAAGAATAAAAAGTGTTGAGAACAAATACAAATAAAGATAAAAAAAGGGGGAACATGACTGAAAAAGCAGCACAAATACAATAGGTTGACAAAACAGTGTTGATTAAAAAAAAAAAAAAAAAAAGAAAATAACAGACATGGGTTGACAATAGAGGAGTGAGGTAGATTACAGGGAATTTATTAGGTAGTGTTTAGTTTTTATCTTAAACTGGTTGAGAGAGGTACAGTCTTTAACATGGTTGGGAAGGTCATTCCACATTCTGGGCCCCTTGATTTGCAGAGCATTTCTAGTTTGATTAAGACGTACTCTAGGAATATCAAAACTGTATTTATTTCTGGTGTGGTGCTCATGGGTTCTGTTACAACCTTCTATGAAGCTTTTAAGATCAGGATTGGCATTATAGTTTAACGTTTTATATATGTATAATACACATGAGAGAATGTGCAGTGACTTAATATCTAACATATTCAGAGATTTGAGTAGGGGTACCGAGTGATGTCTGGGGCCAGAGTTGGATATTGTTCTAATAGCGGCTTTGTGTTGGGTAATTAGAGGACGTAAGTGATTTTGGGTAGTAGAACCCCAAGCACAAATACCATAGTTGAGATAAGGATAGATAAGGGAGTAATAGAGAGTCACCAGGGCAGGGCGTGGTACATAATATCTGATCTTAGAAAGAATGCCCACAGTTTTTGAAACTTTTTTTGATATATTTAGAATGTGTCCCTGGAAATTCAGCTTGTGGTCAATGAGAATGCCAAGGAATTTGCCATCTAATTTGTTACAAATTTGGGTATTGTTTATTTTGAGATTTATAAGACTAGAGGATTTATTGCCAAACAGAATATAGAAAGTTTTGTCAATGTTGAGGGTGAGTTTGTTGGCAGTTAGCCAAAGATGGACTTTATTTAGCTCAGTATTTACTGTGGCATTTAGAGCAAGAGGGTCAGGACTGGAGTAAATGAAGGTTGTGTCGTCAGCAAATAGAATTGGTTTGAGGTGTTGGGAGGCATTTGGAAGGTCATTAATGTAGATGAGAAAGAGGAGAGGGCCAAGTATGCTGCCCTGAGGAACACCAATGTTGATGGGTAGGGTGGGAGAAATTGTATTATTCACAGAAACATATTGGAGCCTGTCAGGAAGGTAGGACTCGAGGTATTGTAGGGAGTGTCCTCTGACTCCATAATGATGTAATTTAAGAAGAAGGTTATGGTGGTTGACAGTATCAAAAGCTTTACGCAGGTCCACAAATAACCCAACAGGGAACTCCTTTTTATCAAGAGCTGTATGAATCGAGTTAAGCATACTAATAAGTGCATCGTTAGTGCTTTTTTGGGTCTGAAGCCATATTGGCAAGGGCTAAGTATATTGAGTTTGGCTAGATATGAGTAAAGCTGCTTATATATAAGTTTTTCAAATTTTTTGGACAAGTTTGGCAGGATTGATATAGGTCTGTAGTTGTTAACATCTGTGGGGTCACCACATTTGTGGACAGGCGTTACTCTCGCTTTTTTTAGAATATCTGGAAAGGTTTGGAGTTCAAGTGACTTGTTGAAGAGCAAAGCAATAGCAGGGGCTAAAGATCTGGAGGCTTTTTTGTAAATTAAAGTTGGTATCTCCTCAAGGGCACCAGACTTGGTTTTAAGGGAAAGGATTATCTCATTGACGTCAGTGGAGTTAATAGGCTTTAGGTACAGAGACTGTGGATAGTTACCTGTAAGATAGTCCTTAATGTCAGTACTGGAAGATGGAATATCATTTGCAAGGGATGAACCAATGGAAGAGAAGAACCTATTGAACTCAATAGCAGAATCAGAGGCTGAAAGCTGACCATCGTTATTAGACAGGAGAGTCGGTTTGTTATTTAGAGATTTCTTTGATCCCAATATTTGTGAAATTGTGCTCCAAGTTTGTTTAATGTTGCTCTTTATTTGAGTAAATTTATCTTCGTAGTATTTAGTTTTGGCTCGTCTAATTATCTTAGATAGCAATAATGAGTAATTCTTTGAGAATTCTTTGGAGACAATTCCTAACCTATACTTCTTCTCAAGGTCGTGTTTTTTGTTAATGGATTTCAGTATTCCCTTTGTAAGCCAAGGATTGTTAAGCCTTTTGCTTGTGACTTGTTTTGTAAGCCTAGGTCAGTGGGTGTTATAAAGGCTAAGAGTTGTTTGTAGAAAAGATTGCACTGCTAGGTTGATGTCCCCTATGTTACCTAACTCGGACTCCCAGTTGACATTATCAGCAGCAGTTATAAAATTGTTTATAGCAGTTTCATTGTGCAGCCTAAAGCTTAACTCCCTTGTTTCTAGAGGTGGTTTGCTAATGTTAGTTAAGAGAAATGTGGGGTAGTGGTCTGTAGTGCTATCGGTGATTATACCTGAAGTAAGCGGAGAGGTTATGTTGGTCCAGATGTGATCTAGAGTCGTGGCAGTGCTATCAGTGATTCTAGTAGGTCTAGTGATTAAGGGTATGAGGAGGCAGGAATTCATACAGTTGAGGAAGCTAACAGCAGTAGGGTGTTCTGGCTCGCAGAGGTCAATATTAAAGTCCCCTGCGATAATTAGGTGGTTTTTGTTCAGTCTGTTATCAAGTATTAGATTTCTAAGGTTTGAGTTGAATACAGACACATCAGTGTTGGGAATTCTATAGACTGCACCCACAGACAGGACAGACTCGGCACCCTTGACTCTGAAGCTGGCGAAGATATACTCCCCATAGCAGTCTCTAGTTCTAATTTCTTTTCAGCATGTTAGTTCTTGGTGGTAGTAAAGAGCAGTGCCACCACCTCTCTGAAGTTGACGACAGTTGTGAATTGCTGAGTAGTTAGGCATGTTAAAGAGTTGAGTAGTATCCTCTTTCAACCATGTTTCAGTAAGTATAATAAAAGAGAATTTGTTGCCAATAGTTTCAATTAAGGCACTAACATCATCGAAGTGTTTACCTAGGGATCTAACGTTCAAATTGATTACAGAGATATTGTGATTATGAGTTAATACATTGTTTACATCATGTGCTGCAAAATATCTGCAATTTAGATCATTAAAGTGATTATTGTCATAGATAGTGGATAAGAGGTTAAGTTCTGGGTCTATACTTGACTGCATAAAAAAAGCTGATTGTAGAATCAGAAATA